TCTAAGCCCATTATATTTTGCTCCTTTCTAGTTTTTTACGCTTTGCTCTTTCTTCGGCCTGTAAGAACTGCTCGCCCAGAGTGCAGCTGTTTTGCTCTTTGGCTGTTAAAAGTGCGTCATTGCCTGCGTCCGCTCGCCTTTCTTTGATGGCTGCCATTATTTGCGGCTGTTCTTCTTCGAACCACTTGTCAAAGATTCTTGGCGGCTTGCAGGTTTTTGCGTGTGTTCGCCCTCGGACTATTACCGTATCATTTCGGTATATGTTTTCTTTGTGCAACTCGTAATACTTTCGTCCTACTCCGTTACTGACAACGCTCCACGGAGATTCAATACATTGCCATTCGTAGATGGCTGCATTCTGTCCTTTTTGTTTTTTGGTCATGTATCTGCCTATGTACGCAGCTGCGTCCCATTCTAATAGACCTATTGTTATGTTGCCGTGGTTCCATATTTTGCGCAGCCATTCGCTTTCGAAATATGTGCAGTTGTACTCGTTTTTTCCGATTGGTTTTATGTCCGGTATTTCGAGGTTAAATATCGCTTCGTGATAGTGCGGTCGAAATGTTGTATCGCCGTACTCTGCTGCAGTAAAAAACTTGATGTTTTCTTGCCCTAGTTCTCGCGCTGCGTGTTCTCTTAGGCGTTTATGATATTTTTGTATGTCTTCTTTGCAGACGGTATATCCGGTTTGTATTATTTCTCCGGTTTCCGTGTTTATTCTATGTCGTTTCGGTATACACTCATCGTCATATGTCAATGTTATAAACCATGATTGCCGTTCTGATGTTTCGGCTTCCATCATGCAGCGTGTCGCCCAATCTCTTGCGTATCGTAGCCTACACTGCATACACTGACCACACTGTACTAGTTTATAACCCGGAGTCAGTTTATCGTACTGCCCCGGGTTATAACCGCCTAGTATTTTTTTATTGTTTCCGTCCCAAATGAGAGGATGTGCGCAGTTTATTAGAGTTTTGTAAGACCCGGGATGCTGTATACAGGCATCGGACGAGTCATGATGCATTTAAAGTAGAAATCACCGAAAAACTGGTGCGCCAGTTCTGAGGTTACTGCAAGCGTTCTGTCAATGTTGCTCTTAGGTTCATCAATCCATTCACTGGAAAGATACGGCTGACTTGCGTAATCGTCAGCATAGTGCCAACTGTCAAGGCTACCCGCAGTGCTGTTGCTGCGGAAATGACCACTAACACGGTTGGGTTCCATGCGATATTCTGCCCAGGCTTCTTGGTAGCCCCATGCTTCTTCATCTGCTGCCGTTCCCTGGGCGTAGATTTCTTTATTAAGGATGGCACATTCCGAAATGTTAGCCAGCTGAGGCCAATAGTAACTAAATTTATCAAATCTAGTAAATTTTCTGTTCAAGCCCTGCTGGTAAGTGTTATCAGTTCTTACACATCCGAGTATATATACGCGGCAATGTTCCGTTGCACTGTAGGTAAACAGGTGTTTCCCGCCCGGCTGAGTTGTTGTAATGGAGTATCCTGCTTCGTTTCCCTGAGGCGTTGTTGCGTCAGTGCTGCTAGTCTGCAGTACAGAGGTTACATTGATAGGCATTCGGAAGCCGCCAAGATATTCTGGCATCTGTTGTCTTGCGTCCGGGCTAATCGTATTAAAGATACTGCGGATGATTTCGTGGTATCGATTTCCTCCGCGTGCCAATGCTTCTTGCCATTGCTGGATACTGAATGCGCGGCGAAGCGCTGCAATATTAATGCTGTTGGTTTCTCCCAAGTCTGCCCACAGGTTACTAGGAATGATAAAGTCTGCATTGCTGCTGGAGATTGTCGCGTTGTTATTAATATAGGTTGTATAATGTCCGGTGCTGCTCGGCGTAGGTGAATCTGTCATAATAGCGCGGTAGCCTGAGCTTGCTGCTGTGGTGCTTGTTCCGCCGCCGTTTCGTCTCTGCCATTTTAAGACGCTCAGTTTACCATCTTCCAACAGCTGTTTGATGTCGATTTCATTTTCTGCGGTGTATACTGGTGCTGTTCCACCGATAGGTATAGTTACGCCCGGTCCGAACTGTGTATCAGGCAGCGCGCTGGTGAAATAATCGTGAAATTTTGCTACAGGCAGCAGCTCACCGCCTAGTTCTGCATCTGTGATGTAATTACTGCCATTAGATCCAGTTCGATTAGTATCGTCCACATATATATGTGCAGGATCCTTCAGTGGTTCACTTCGGAACCAATCATTCCAAATTAAATTGTACCCGCGGAAGTAAGTTGCATCGATTTCGATGTTTTCTACTTTAGTAGGAATACCCATATAGTCTGCTATGGTTCCTTCTGCCCATCCGCCGGTAGGCGCTGTAAGTTTCGGTTTGGTATATGTGGTGCTTGACGTCCACGCGTCTGCCGTGTTCTCGCCCATAAATTCTTTGAAGTGTTCCCATGTCAGGCGCTCCGGTACTGCAAACGCGTAAATATCCATGTATGCATTATCCATGACAGGTTTAATAGGCGTCGCCATTCGAATTACTGCGCTCATGTCCATTTTCATGGTGTCGCTAGGAAGCATTTCCAATACTGCTAATGGTACCAATTTACCACTATTCCAAGTGGTTTTATGGTCAAAAGATATATCAAAATTGCTTCGCTGGATATAAGATTGCGGAGCTGCATTAAAATGTGCTTCGGTGTTACGGTTCGTTGTTTCCACTCTCCTTTACTTCCGGCGCAGCTGCGTCCGGTTCTGTGCTCATGAAGCCTAAGGTCTCTGCCCAAGGCTGCGACCCGTAGGCATTAATAAATACATCGGCCGAGTTATTAAACTTTGCTCGTGTTTCTTCGTCTAAGGTCATAAAGTAGTTTCTAGCTTCTAAGATGGCTTGCTGCGCCTCCATCAGGTTTTTTGGCATTTCGGTTACATCGATATAATTTCCCTCAGGCCGCAGGCCTCTCGTGTCGCCGTTGATTGCTCGTTCCATGATGTTTGTAATTTTGCAGCTTTCAAGGCTTACTTGAATTTTCTCATATACTGGTTCTCGCTCCGGCGCTAGTACCAGTACTTTTCCGTCTTTTGTATGCTTATATTCGTAGATTGCTTTGTCCGGTAAACCTGATTCTGTGATAAATCTTTCTTTCTTGTCGTATGCTGTTTTAAATACTGCCATCTTCCATGACCTCATAGATATTGCTGGTCAGTTTTCCATTCTCTGTTTCAAACTCGCCAATATGCCATAACTCAAAATCGGCAGGGTACTGTGCAATGATATTTGTTTTGTCTGCCAGTAGTGCATTGTACATGCGTTTGGCCACGGCATCGTTGGCTGCATCAAAGCGGTTGCTGAAGCCTACTTTAATATCTCGGATTGCGTAAATATTCTGTGTCACAGTCGCGTACCTCCTCGCATTACCTTAGGTGTAAGATTGATTTTTTTGGTTTTCTTCCCTGCTTTAAAAATTCTGCGGTTGGCTGCTTTGCTAATCTTTCTGCGCTTCATTTTGCGTCACCTCCTTATTTATACAAGTGTAACAAAAAAAAAAAAAAAATAAAGCCTTTTTTTTGGTTGAAAAGTCAGTGTATAATGTTGACAAATTCCGCATTTTTTTTGTATTATTGTGTTGCGGAGTGGTTGCCGCCTGATTATGTTTTACGCTGCCAGCGATGGCAGTGTATTTGTGCATATGCACACATACCCCCTGCAGGTTAACAACCACCCTGCAAGGGGGTATTTTTTTGTCTTTGGAAAATTTTATTTCCCAATTTGATGGCAGCACTCGATTTAGGCTTACTTATTTCGAAGATGAGTGCTTTTATCACACGGTTGAGTTCTCTAGGTGTTCTAATTGGCGTTCTGTTGTTCCTGAGGATGTTCAGCTGCGTGAGATTTTTAATACTTCTGTTCATGATGGCCTTGTTGAACTTTATGTTTATTGTCTGCCTGATATTGTTCATCCTCTTTAATTAAATTTAATATTGCCTGCCCGGTGCAGCGTGCGCACCGGCCAAACCCTGCACGCTAAATCGATAATCCCGCCAGCTGACGAAAGTCAGGTCATAGAGATGTTTAACCGCTACAGGCTGACCGATGCGGATATGCTCTATCGTGCGCGGGCGCGTGCGCGTTTTCGCGCGTGTGCCTGTGCGCGGCTGTGTACTTATACGGCTCTACAACTGGAGTGTATAGCAGCGACCCCTTTGCAAGGGGTCGCTATGCCCTTTCCGGATACACTGAAATGTATATGTATCGGGGAAAAGGGGAGCGCCCTAGCGGCAAGGGGAAAAGGGGAAATCTTTTCCCCGACGAGCGAATATTAACAAGCGCTCATATCATCATAGAATAGAAACTCCCTATACAGAGGGGCGCGCATCCTGCGCCCAACTGTATAGGGAGTTAAGTTTTATATTGGTTCCAGCACAGTTTCCAACTTGATTCAACTGTGCTGGATGACAGATTTAAGTGCCGGGCCCGTGGAATGAGTAACTACGCTGTTCTCCGTCTTTAAAGAACTTCTGCACAGCGCCTGCAGTGTCGCTGATTGTGTCAAGGATTTTTTTGCCTGTTTCTAGTACCTTTCCACCCGCTCCGGCAACTTTTCCGGCGGCTGTGCCGTTCAGGATTGTGGTTGCCGCATCTGCCATACCGCGTACTAGATAACCTGTGTACGGTATGCTCTCGCTCATGCTTCCCCACGCGCTGCCGCTATTACCCTGTGAATAGCTGCTGGTATCCACGCCGCCGCTCACGGTGGCAGCACCGCCGCTCCCAACCTGAGCGCCACCGTTTCCCGCTGCTAAGATGGGATTAATTCCCGCTGCTTTCATGTCTTTAATGGCTCTTTGATATGCCGTGTTACTCATTCGTTCTTGCCAATCTCTATTTACTTGCGCCTGTTGTGAGTTGTAATTCATGGCTGCTTGCATCATTTCCCACGCGCTGCCATTACTTCCGCTTAATGCAAAGTTGCTGCTGCCGGAGTTTCCCCAGCTGCTGGAACTGCCTACACCACCGCCCAGTAAACTTTCTAAGCCCATTATATTTTGCTCCTTTCTAGTTTTTTACGCTTTGCTCTTTCTTCGGCCTGTAAGAACTGCTCGCCCAGAGTGCAGCTGTTTTGCTCTTTGGCTGTTAAAAGTGCGTCATTGCCTGCGTCCGCTCGCCTTTCTTTGATGGCTGCCATTATTTGCGGCTGTTCTTCTTCGAACCACTTGTCAAAGATTCTTGGCGGCTTGCAGGTTTTTGCGTGTGTTCGCCCTCGGACTATTACCGTATCATTTCGGTATATGTTTTCTTTGTGCAACTCGTAATACTTTCGTCCTACTCCGTTACTGACAACGCTCCACGGAGATTCAATACATTGCCATTCGTAGATGGCTGCATTCTGTCCTTTTTGTTTTTTGGTCATGTATCTGCCTATGTACGCAGCTGCGTCCCATTCTAATAGACCTATTGTTATGTTGCCGTGGTTCCATATTTTGCGCAGCCATTCGCTTTCGAAATATGTGCAGTTGTACTCGTTTTTTCCGATTGGTTTTATGTCCGGTATTTCGAGGTTAAATATCGCTTCGTGATAGTGCGGTCGAAATGTTGTATCGCCGTACTCTGCTGCAGTAAAAAACTTGATGTTTTCTTGCCCTAGTTCTCGCGCTGCGTGTTCTCTTAGGCGTTTATGATATTTTTGTATGTCTTCTTTGCAGACGGTATATCCGGTTTGTATTATTTCTCCGGTTTCCGTGTTTATTCTATGTCGTTTCGGTATACACTCATCGTCATATGTCAATGTTATAAACCATGATTGCCGTTCTGATGTTTCGGCTTCCATCATGCAGCGTGTCGCCCAATCTCTTGCGTATCGTAGCCTACACTGCATACACTGACCACACGGTACTAGTTTATAACCCGGAGTCAGTTTATCGTACTGCCCCGGGTTATAACCGCCTAGTATTTTTTTATTGTTTCCGTCCCAAATGAGAGGATGTGCGCAGTTTATTAGAGTTTTGTAAGACCCGGGATGCTGTATACAGGCATCGGACGAGTCATGATGCATTTAAAGTAGAAATCACCGAAAAACTGGTGCGCCAGTTCTGAGGTTACTGCAAGCGTTCTGTCAATGTTGCTCTTAGGTTCATCAATCCATTCACTGGAAAGATACGGCTGACTTGCGTAATCGTCAGCATAGTGCCAACTGTCAAGGCTACCCGCAGTGCTGTTGCTGCGGAAATGACCACTAACACGGTTGGGTTCCATGCGATATTCTGCCCAGGCTTCTTGGTAGCCCCATGCTTCTTCATCTGCTGCCGTTCCCTGGGCGTAGATTTCTTTATTAAGGATGGCACATTCCGAAATGTTAGCCAGCTGAGGCCAATAGTAACTAAATTTATCAAATCTAGTAAATTTTCTGTTCAAGCCCTGCTGGTAAGTGTTATCAGTTCTTACACATCCGAGTATATATACGCGGCAATGTTCCGTTGCACTGTAGGTAAACAGGTGTTTCCCGCCCGGCTGAGTTGTTGTAATGGAGTATCCTGCTTCGTTTCCCTGAGGCGTTGTTGCGTCAGTGCTGCTAGTCTGCAGTACAGAGGTTACATTGATAGGCATTCGGAAGCCGCCAAGATATTCTGGCATCTGTTGTCTTGCGTCCGGGCTAATCGTATTAAAGATACTGCGGATGATTTCGTGGTATCGATTTCCTCCGCGTGCCAATGCTTCTTGCCATTGCTGGATACTGAATGCGCGGCGAAGCGCTGCAATATTAATGCTGTTGGTTTCTCCCAAGTCTGCCCACAGGTTACTAGGAATGATAAAGTCTGCATTGCTGCTGGAGATTGTCGCGTTGTTATTAATATAGGTTGTATAATGTCCGGTGCTGCTCGGCGTAGGTGAATCTGTCATAATAGCGCGGTAGCCTGAGCTTGCTGCTGTGGTGCTTGTTCCGCCGCCGTTTCGTCTCTGCCATTTTAAGACGCTCAGTTTACCATCTTCCAACAGCTGTTTGATGTCGATTTCATTTTCTGCGGTGTATACTGGTGCTGTTCCACCGATAGGTATAGTTACGCCCGGTCCGAACTGTGTATCAGGCAGCGCGCTGGTGAAATAATCGTGAAATTTTGCTACAGGCAGCAGCTCACCGCCTAGTTCTGCATCTGTGATGTAATTACTGCCATTAGATCCAGTTCGATTAGTATCGTCCACATATATATGTGCAGGATCCTTCAGTGGTTCACTTCGGAACCAATCATTCCAAATTAAATTGTACCCGCGGAAGTAAGTTGCATCGATTTCGATGTTTTCTACTTTAGTAGGAATACCCATATAGTCTGCTATGGTTCCTTCTGCCCATCCGCCGGTAGGCGCTGTAAGTTTCGGTTTGGTATATGTGGTGCTTGACGTCCACGCGTCTGCCGTGTTCTCGCCCATAAATTCTTTGAAGTGTTCCCATGTCAGGCGCTCCGGTACTGCAAACGCGTAAATATCCATGTATGCATTATCCATGACAGGTTTAATAGGCGTCGCCATTCGAATTACTGCGCTCATGTCCATTTTCATGGTGTCGCTAGGAAGCATTTCCAATACTGCTAATGGTACCAATTTACCACTATTCCAAGTGGTTTTATGGTCAAAAGATATATCAAAATTGCTTCGCTGGATATAAGATTGCGGAGCTGCATTAAAATGTGCTTCGGTGTTACGGTTCGTTGTTTCCACTCTCCTTTACTTCCGGCGCAGCTGCGTCCGGTTCTGTGCTCATGAAGCCTAAGGTCTCTGCCCAAGGCTGCGACCCGTAGGCATTAATAAATACATCGGCCGAGTTATTAAACTTTGCTCGTGTTTCTTCGTCTAAGGTCATAAAGTAGTTTCTAGCTTCTAAGATGGCTTGCTGCGCCTCCATCAGGTTTTTTGGCATTTCGGTTACATCGATATAATTTCCCTCAGGCCGCAGGCCTCTCGTGTCGCCGTTGATTGCTCGTTCCATGATGTTTGTAATTTTGCAGCTTTCAAGGCTTACTTGAATTTTCTCATATACTGGTTCTCGCTCCGGCGCTAGTACCAGTACTTTTCCGTCTTTTGTATGCTTATATTCGTAGATTGCTTTGTCCGGTAAACCTGATTCTGTGATAAATCTTTCTTTCTTGTCGTATGCTGTTTTAAATACTGCCATCTTCCATGACCTCATAGATATTGCTGGTCAGTTTTCCATTCTCTGTTTCAAACTCGCCAATATGCCATAACTCAAAATCGGCAGGGTACTGTGCAATGATATTTGTTTTGTCTGCCAGTAGTGCATTGTACATGCGTTTGGCCACGGCATCGTTGGCTGCATCAAAGCGGTTGCTGAAGCCTACTTTAATATCTCGGATTGCGTAAATATTCTGTGTCACAGTCGCGTACCTCCTCGCATTACCTTAGGTGTAAGATTGATTTTTTTGGTTTTCTTCCCTGCTTTAAAAATTCTGCGGTTGGCTGCTTTGCTAATCTTTCTGCGCTTCATTTTGCGTCACCTCCTTATTTATACAAGTGTAACAAAAAAAAAAAAAAAATAAAGCCTTTTTTTTGGTTGAAAAGTCAGTGTATAATGTTGACAAATTCCGCATTTTTTTTTGTATTATTGTGTTGCGGAGTGGTTGCCGCCTGATTATGTTTTACGCTGCCAGCGATGGCAGTGTATTTGTGCATATGCACACATACCCCCTGCAGGTTAACAACCACCCTGCAAGGGGGTATTTTTTTGTCTTTGGAAAATTTTATTTCCCAATTTGATGGCAGCACTCGATTTAGGCTTACTTATTTCGAAGATGAGTGCTTTTATCACACGGTTGAGTTCTCTAGGTGTTCTAATTGGCGTTCTGTTGTTCCTGAGGATGTTCAGCTGCGTGAGATTTTTAATACTTCTGTTCATGATGGCCTTGTTGAACTTTATGTTTATTGTCTGCCTGATATTGTTCATCCTCTTTAATTAAATTTAATATTGCCTGCCCGGTGCAGCGTGCGCACCGGCCAAACCCTGCACGCTAAATCGATAATCCCGCCAGCTGACGAAAGTCAGGTCATAGAGATGTTTAACCGCTACAGGCTGACCGATGCGGATATGCTCTATCGTGCGCGGGCGCGTGCGCGTTTTCGCGCGTGTGCCTGTGCGCGGCTGTGTACTTATACGGCTCTACAACTGGAGTGTATAGCAGCGACCCCTTTGCAAGGGGTCGCTATGCCCTTTCCGGATACACTGAAATGTATATGTATCGGGGAAAAGGGGAGCGCCCTAGCGGCAAGGGGAAAAGGGGAAATCTTTTCCCCGACGAGCGAATATTAACAAGCGCTCATATCATCATAGAATAGAAACTCCCTATACAGAGGGGCGCGCATCCTGCGCCCAACTGTATAGGGAGTTAAGTTTTATATTGGTTCCAGCACAGTTTCCAACTTGATTCAACTGTGCTGGATGACAGATTTAAGTGCCGGGCCCGTGGAATGAGTAACTACGCTGTTCTCCGTCTTTAAAGAACTTCTGCACAGCGCCTGCAGTGTCGCTGATTGTGTCAAGGATTTTTTTGCCTGTTTCTAGTACCTTTCCACCCGCTCCGGCAACTTTTCCGGCGGCTGTGCCGTTCAGGATTGTGGTTGCCGCATCTGCCATACCGCGTACTAGATAACCTGTGTACGGTATGCTCTCGCTCATGCTTCCCCACGCGCTGCCGCTATTACCTGTGAATAGCTGCTGGTATCCACGCCGCCGCTCACGGTGGCAGCACCGCCGCTCCCAACCTGAGCGCCACCGTTTCCCGCTGCTAAGATGGGATTAATTCCCGCTGCTTTCATGTCTTTAATGGCTCTTTGATATGCCGTGTTACTCATTCGTTCTTGCCAATCTCTATTTACTTGCGCCTGTTGTGAGTTGTAATTCATGGCTGCTTGCATCATTTCCCACGCGCTGCCATTACTTCCTCTTAATGCAAAGTTGCTGCTGCCGGAGTTTCCCCAGCTGCTGGAACTGCCTACACCACCGCCCAGTAAACTTTCTAAGCCCATTATATTTTGCTCCTTTCTAGTTTTTTACGCTTTGCTCTTTCTTCGGCCTGTAAGAACTGCTCGCCCAGAGTGCAGCTGTTTTGCTCTTTGGCTGTTAAAAGTGCGTCATTGCCTGCGTCCGCTCGCCTTTCTTTGATGGCTGCCATTATTTGCGGCTGTTCTTCCTTCGAACCACTTGTCAAAGATTCTTGGCGGCTTGCAGGTTTTTGCGTGTGTTCGCCCTCGGACTATTACCGTATCATTTCGGTATATGTTTTCTTTGTGCAACTCGTAATACTTTCGTCCTACTCCGTTACTGACAACGCTCCACGGAGATTCAATACATTGCCATTCGTAGATGGCTGCATTCTGTCCTTTTTGTTTTTTGGTCATGTATCTGCCTATGTACGCAGCTGCGTCCCATTCTAATAGACCTATTGTTATGTTGCCGTGGTTCCATATTTTGCGCAGCCATTCGCTTTCGAAATATGTGCAGTTGTACTCGTTTTTTCCGATTGGTTTTATGTCCGGTATTTCGAGGTTATAATATCGCTTCGTGATAGTGCGGTCGAAATGTTGTATCGCCGTACTCTGCTGCAGTAAAAAACTTGATGTTTTCTTGCCCTAGTTCTCGCGCTGCGTGTTCTCTTAGGCGTTTATGATATTTTTGTATTCTTCTTTGCAGACGGTATATCCGGTTTGTATTATTTCTCCGGTTTCCGTGTTTATTCTATGTCGTTTCGGTATACACTCATCGTCATATGTCAATGTTATAAACCATGATTGCCGTTCTGATGTTTCGGCTTCCATCATGCAGCGTGTCGCCCAATCTCTTGCGTATCGTAGCCTACACTGCATACACTGACCACACTGTACTAGTTTATAACCCGGAGTCAGTTTATCGTACTGCCCCGGGTTATAACCGCCTAGTATTTTTTTATTGTTTCCGTCCCAAATGAGAGGATGTGCGCAGTTTATTAGAGTTTTGTAAGACCCGGGATGCTGTATACAGGCATCGGACGAGTCATGATGCATTTAAAGTAGAAATCACCGAAAAACTGGTGCGCCAGTTCTGAGGTTACTGCAAGCGTTCTGTCAATGTTGCTCTTAGGTTCATCAATCCATTCACTGGAAAGATACGGGCTGACTTGCGTAATCGTCAGCATAGTGCCAACTGTCAAGGCTACCCGCAGTGCTGTTGCTGCGGAAATGACCACTAACACGGTTGGGTTCCATGCGATATTCTGCCCAGGCTTCTTGGTAGCCCCATGCTTCTTCATCTGCTGCCGTTCCCTGGGCGTAGATTTCTTTATTAAGGATGGCACATTCCGAAATGTTAGCCAGCTGAGGCCAATAGTAACTAAATTTATCAAATCTAGTAAATTTTCTGTTCAAGCCCTGCTGGTAAGTGTTATCAGTTCTTACACATCCGAGTATATATACGCGGCAATGTTCCGTTGCACTGTAGGTAAACAGGTGTTTCCCGCCCGGCTGAGTTGTTGTAATGGAGTATCCTGCTTCGTTTCCCTGAGGCGTTGTTGCGTCAGTGCTGCTAGTCTGCAGTACAGAGGTTACATTGATAGGCATTCGGAAGCCGCCAAGATATTCTGGCATCTGTTGTCTTGCGTCCGGGCTAATCGTATTAAAGATACTGCGGATGATTTCGTGGTATCGATTTCCTCCGCGTGCCAATGCTTCTTGCCATTGCTGGATACTGAATGCGCGGCGAAGCGCTGCAATATTAATGCTGTTGGTTTCTCCCAAGTCTGCCCACAGGTTACTAGGAATGATAAAGTCTGCATTGCTGCTGGAGATTGTCGCGTTGTTATTAATATAGGTTGTATAATGTCCGGTGCTGCTCGGCGTAGGTGAATCTGTCATAATAGCGCGGTAGCCTGAGCTTGCTGCTGTGGTGCTTGTTCCGCCGCCGTTTCGTCTCTGCCATTTTAAGACGCTCAGTTTACCATCTTCCAACAGCTGTTTGATGTCGATTTCATTTTCTGCGGTGTATACTGGTGCTGTTCCACCGATAGGTATAGTTACGCCCGGTCCGAACTGTGTATCAGGCAGCGCGCTGGTGAAATAATCGTGAAATTTTGCTACAGGCAGCAGCTCACCGCCTAGTTCTGCATCTGTGATGTAATTACTGCCATTAGATCCAGTTCGATTAGTATCGTCCACATATATATGTGCAGGATCCTTCAGTGGTTCACTTCGGAACCAATCATTCCAAATTAAATTGTACCCGCGGAAGTAAGTTGCATCGATTTCGATGTTTTCTACTTTAGTAGGAATACCCATATAGTCTGCTATGGTTCCTTCTGCCCATCCGCCGGTAGGCGCTGTAAGTTTCGGTTTGGTATATGTGGTGCTTGACGTCCACGCGTCTGCCGTGTTCTCGCCCATAAATTCTTTGAAGTGTTCCCATGTCAGGCGCTCCGGTACTGCAAACGCGTAAATATCCATGTATGCATTATCCATGACAGGTTTAATAGGCGTCGCCATTCGAATTACTGCGCTCATGTCCATTTTCATGGTGTCGCTAGGAAGCATTTCCAATACTGCTAATGGTACCAATTTACCACTATTCCAAGTGGTTTTATGGTCAAAAGATATATCAAAATTGCTTCGCTGGATATAAGATTGCGGAGCTGCATTAAAATGTGCTTCGGTG